CTGTCAACGTGTATACTACTGAAGACAGAGTGAACTGATTTGCGCATAGGGTTATAAATCGTGAAACCCCGCAACAGTGTTGACAGATTAATGCGATTAGGGTTATAAAGTGTGAAACCCCGCAACTGTGTGATAAGTAATTGTAGCCGTTATTTGTAGATTGTTAAATAAACCAATTAACCATCTCTACGGCGTCTTCAGTAAGGCAAACACGTTACATTGGTGTCAGAAGTGGGATCAGTAACGCAAAACACGTTACAATATATTATTATATTAATATATTATTATATTCAATTGGTGTCTGTATTGTTAATATAGTTTCCTATCCCAAACCACTTTTCGGTCCTTGGGCTTTGGTACGTTTCAATTTGAAACACGTGACGCAACAGAGAGATAACGGTATTGCTTACCGCAGTACTGTAACAATATAGGCTTCCCATTAACAATAAACACACTGTTACCCGTAAGGTCACAGGGTTTTGAATTGGATTTATTTCCCCTTATACATTCACACAGTTTTGGACCACTGGCAATACTGGGCTGTACCACCTAAAGTCAACTGACAGACAGAGATCTGCGTACATTTCAATCAGATACCGTGGTCCTTCTATAATGAAGCAGAGTGCAATGAAAGGATACTGTCTCTCGTACGTACTTATGAAGTATGAAACTGCATGCCATCACACCTACACACCATGTTCACCAGCATTCTTCCAAATTACCAAAATCTGACCCACAAATTATGGGAACCCCATCTTTCTTGGGGGAGTAAATATATTTTACATGTTTCTATAAAAATTGGGCAACCACGCTATTACATACATTGCTCATACAGCAATTTCAGTGAAAAAAACACAAAAAAGCAGAAGGCAAGGGCATATGACAAACTTTCACTCACACAAGAACAACATAAAGTCACGTCACTATATTCTGTGAAATGAAATAACTGTACCAGTAGCTTCTCCCTGAACTGCCGGTGCTGCAGACTGCTGACGGACCAAGATCCCACTGGGTCCCAATTTGGAGTCCAGCCCAGCAGAGGGCCCTGCCTGCCATTCTATCAACTTCGACTGTGGCTGCGGTGCAGGCCGAGGGGGGTATGGGGGCCTTAAATTTGATCCAACAACTGGCACGATGTTTGGGCCGGGCAAGAGACCTTGGGCTGAAAATGTGAAATATCATAAACTCATAACAAATGAACTGTATTTCATGTGAGAGTTTAGAAAGTGTTACTTGAGTGACTACTAAGTATCTCACCTGGAATTCCTTGAGGTGGCGAGCCAAGTCCTGGGGAGCCACCAGTGGGGGTTGGGGTACCTAACACATCGGCTCTAAGTCGCTCAAAGTCAACATCACTGAGCAAGGGTGGCGATGCTGAATCTGGTGGTGGCTGCGACTGCTGGGAAAGCAAAGGCTGATGTTGGTGTTGCTTCTCTTGCTCCCGTTTTTCCTGTTCAAGCAAGTCTTCCAGCAAGAGTGGCTGCTCCTGTAATGGAGACTGCGGCAAGTTAGACTCAACCCACTGCAATATACAGAATAAACATGAAACTAGTGCAGGCTAGAAGACACAGTCCTCTTCAGGTTCCTTTCTATTTTGTCTGTGTGAACCAGTGCATACACAAGCAGAACACTTATGGCATTTCACACTGAGAACACAAAAAGCAGTAAAGTTATACCTTGCTTGCTATCTTCTCACTCCTGAGTAAGGGAACAGTTTCAATGAACAGAGTGTAATCTCAACATTACAAAAGTCATAAAGTTCGGAAAACTGCTAATTCTAATGGGTACTTGATCTATCTGAAAATGTCTGAAATATGTATCAACAAATCCATCCTGCAACATGCAATTATGTATAACAAAATATGGCGCTAAGGTTTCAATGAGAATGCAGATGCAACAATGTTTCTTCTTTGAAGAGGTTACGACAGGGATATGAAAATAATGAATAATAATTCAGCATTTTCATCATCGTTAGCGTTATCTCAACAGAAGAGTAATGATTATCTTAAACTTGCATAGCCTCTTCTATACACAACCGACACATAATGAGGTGCTTTATGAACAAAATTCCTCACTGCACTTCTGCATATATGTGAGAGTGAAGTAGTTGCCTCATATCGAACTGGAGCAACAGACCCACACAGCATGCACTTTAAAATCCTACCAGTTCTCTACACACATGCATTATGTTATCGGTTGCTCTTTATGGAGGCAGAACAGCTATTCACAGCTCCTGTATCATTGTAATTAGGATATGAACCATTCCAGTCGACCGTCTGTACAGTCAAGAGATCTGTCAGCCTTTCTTCCCTTTACATTAGCACATGATATCATGCTTCCCCCCCCCCTTTCCATCTGTTGATGTCCGACTCACATGGCTCTCCTGCTAAATCCCGTTTGCTTCCCCCAAGTTCATAGTTCACTGAAGTAAATTTGCAATGCAAGTGAAATACTGCTCACCTGTAAATTCCTGCAATTATGAGATTGTATTAGAAATCTCAAGGAGGATGAGGTGGGCGGGCCACGTAGCACAAATGGGGGAGAAAAAGAATGCATAAGGACATTGGTGGGAAAGCCAGAAGGAAAGAGAGCACTGGGAAGACCAAGGTGTAGGTGGGTGGACAATATTAAAATGGATCTTAGAGAGATAGGATGGGATGGTATGGATTAGATTGATCTGGCTCAGGATAGGGACCAGTGGAGGGCTCTTGTGAAGACGGTAATGAACCTTCAGGTTCCATAAAATACTGGGAAATTCTTGAGTGGCTGCAGATTTGGCTTCTCCTCAAGAAGGGCTCAGCTCCATAAGTAAGTAAGTATTAGAAATCTTGAGATAAGAAGATAGATTGTTGAGAATTGTAAAGAAAGCACTAGTAATATGAAATAGCTTGTAAATGTAACAGGGGTTGTCCAGTGATTGAGATTAGCTCCTTCTAGAGGGCCCAACTGATGTGTCTTCCCCCCCCACCTGAGGACAGAAACAGTTCCACTTACCAAAATATCATGTTTTCTATTTTCTAGAAGTCAAAAGAACCCGGCAATTCTGTGTTACACACTATCATCAGAACCCACTAGAATCTACATGAAATAACTGCTTTACCCTTATTACTTGAAGCATAACACAACTTTGTCTGCACAGCAAAGACAGAAGGGATGAATGAAGGAAAATCAGTCTTCTGAAGTGAACTTTGAACTAAGCTTCAGTTCTAGCAGCTGTGGGTAAGCATGGGTTTGCATGAACACATCAACATCTGCATACTATAAACGGCCAGGCATAGCAGCTTGAAATGGAATATGTGGTGTGTTCAAAAAGTATTGAACCTTTGGTCGGCAGAAATACATTTATTGATTTGGAGGTACAAAACCTTAATCCCCTTCAAAGTAGTCTCCTTGGTAATGCACACAGTTCTCCCAGCGCTTCCGCCATTGTTGGAAACACTTCTGGAACGCGTCTTTTGGAATGGTGATCAGCCGGGCCGTCACATTCTGCATGATGTCTTCTCTTGACTCAAATCGGGTTCCTTTCAGCTTGGAAAATAGTCAAAAGTCACACGGAGACATGTCGGGGGAGTAGGGAGCCTGACGAACCACAAGGATGTTGTGTTTGGCGACAAAAGTCTGAATCAGATGCGCAGAATAGGCGGATGTGTTATCATGATGGAGCTGCCAAGTTTTTGCTGCCCACAGATCCAGTCGTTTGCACCGCACAGCATCACGAAGGCAACGAAGGACCTCCTGGTAGTATTCCTTTGTGATGGTTTGGCCTTGTGGTGCGTACTCATGATGCACAACCCCACGGGAGTCGAAGAAAACGGTCAACATGACCTTGATATTGCTGCAGACCTGCCGTGCTTTCGGATGTTTCCACTGTGACGACTGCATCTTGGTTTCCGGGTCGTACCCATAAACCCACGACTCATCGCCTGTGATCTCGGTGTTCAGAAAGTTGGGGTTATTGTTTGCATTGCCCAGCATGTCCTGTGCGATTTCCAGACGGCGCTGCTTCTGCTCCACTGTTAGCAGTTTCGGTACGAATTTCGCGGACACTCTCCTCATGCCCAAATCCTCGGTCAAAATTGAACGTATCGATCCAATGCTTACCCCTATCTCGTTCGCAAGTTCTCGGACTGTGATATGACGGTCCTCCATGACCAAAGTCCGCACTTGCTCAATGACATTCTCATTTCGGCTTGTTGAGGGTCTGCCTGAACGCGGTTCGCTGACCATTGATGTGCGGCCATCTTTGAAGTGGTTGTACCACTTCTTTATCCGTCAGTTGCTCATGACACCGTCCCCAGAAGCCTGTTGAATCTTGTGAATGGTTTCCACTTGGGTACTGCCAAGCTTTTGGCAAAATTTGATGCAATATCGCTGCCCATGTTGTTCCGTCATTTTACACCTTACTGGAATTCGACGAGCGCTCACTACAAGTCTTCACTCATAGGCCGACTGCCAGCGACTGACACTTTCTGCGGGCGGGAAAAAATTCACAACTGCGCATGAATGTCCCCTCCACATCTCCACTGAAGGGAGCCTCCTGCGCTTCATTGGTTTACGCGGGGAAAAAGAAGGTTCGATACTTTTTGAACACACCACATACATATAAAACTCATACAGTACAACTTAGTTCATGACTCTGACCGGGTTTTCATGTGTTCTGACCCACTGTGTCATGACAAAAGAGGACATAGCCTTAGACCTGAATTATATTTTTCTAAATACGACTTACAAAAATGTTCACAGAAAAGGGATCTAATAACAAAAGAGGTAAGTAGCACATTTCAGTGCAATACGAAAAGTGGCTTGTGATATAAATTGTTATTACAGTGAAAGAAATTGGTCTAGAAGAGAAAATTCTT